TGTTTTTCTGAGTAGATGTTTTATGTTAGTTGTTAGATAGGAGGTGGGGACCACAGTAGTTATGTGAGTCCAATTTTTATTATGTTTCCGAGTGTTATATATGTTGTTTTATGTTTTGCCACCCTATAAGGGCATAGTTGTCTTTGTACTGTTTTATTATTTTAGTATAAATAATAAGTGAAGGGGGCGACCAGATCATTGCTCTCTTTTCTTTTCAACTTCTCTTCTTCTCTTTTTCTCCTTCTCTCTTCCTTCTCTCTTCAAGAAGCTACTTTCTTTCATATTTTTTAATTCAGCAGATTCCTACTCAATTAAAATGCTATGTTATAGTTTATTTTTCATCTTAGTTATGTGTTTTTTTTTATAGGTAACATTAGGGTGTACTGTCGTATAAGGCCATTCCTTCCTGGACAAAATGGAAAACAGACAACCATAGAATATATTGGTGAGAATGGTGAGTTGGGTGTTGTAAATCCCTCCAAACAAGGAAAAGACAGTCATCGTATGTTTAAGTTCAACAAGGTCTTTGGTCCAACTGCTACTCAAGGTTTGCATTTTTATTTTTGTCAATGTTATAAAACTGTAATTTTCTTTTCTTAACATCTTCCTTTCCCACTATCTTCTGCATGGAATTTGAATCCTTAATTGACTTTTTATATATGCCTAATGTTGATGCAAACAAATACTATGAACTTTATTATGAAATGTTCCAGATGTACAAAAGAATCTGCTCTCAGAGATGAGACAGACTTTGGAATAGCCACATTCATTATTCTACTTTAGTTAGGAATGTGGAGTTCCATAATCACCATGGAACTATTTATCCTCTAATTCATTGGCTAATCTAGGAATGTTCAACCTAATGGAATAAGACCTTAATTCTCTTATTTAGTGCCTTAGGAATGAGGACATAATTAAATCAGGTTTCCAACTAACCATTGGTACCTCTCAACATCAACAAGATGATGTTCATTTTGGTCTCCCAAATGATGACTTTGCTCAATTGGTGTCTCAGCTGGATTTGATCCTAACATTCCTGTCTCCTTATGTAGATCTAGGATATACTTTCTTTGGCGAATGGAAATCCCCTTTTTGGATCTTGTCACTTCAATCCCAAGAAAGTGCCTTAAATTGTCCCTATCTTTAATTTCAAAGTCTTTTATAGAAAAGATTTCAGCTGCTCAATTTTCTTAATATTTCTGTAGAGAACACTAATGTGGACTCCACTGGTGTGGTCCCCACTGTGTTTGTATGACAGCAGTTAGTTATGATTAGTTTATTTCAGCTTTATCTTATCTTATCTTATTATCTTGCCATGTAAGCAATTCAATTCTTTTACAATTATGATACTATGAATATAAATTTAAGAGTGGGGCGGCTGTTTCTAACACAACCACTCTCTCTTTTCTCAAAAATCTCTCCACGAGTTCTCCCTCTCCTCTCTTCTCCTCTTCTTCTTTTAGTTTTATTTTCTGTTCAAGACCAAAGACTAGTTGTAGTCTTGTATGACTACTTGGTATTTAGATCAAGATCTAGGGCTTCTCATGTGAGTCTGATCCAGCCGACCACATGAGAATTGCCTAGGGCTGGAAGATTAGAAAGATATATATATTTTTTTTATCTGGCTGATTCTTGGAGGTTATCAGAAACTGTAGCAGCTGTCCAAAGATTGGACTGTGTTCTTGATCAGAATTTCCAGAGGATTCTTAGATCAAGATCAATTTTTGATCAATATTGAAGGTGGCAATCAGAATTTCCAGAGGACTTTTGGGCCAAGATCAGTTTTTTCAGAATTTTCTGGGTAAGATTTCATTCCTTCTTGAGGTCGGCAGCAAGATCTGAGAGGTACGGCTATAAAAAATTACATTTTTTTATCTATTTTAGGGTTTTAAGAGAAAACCCTAAAATTCCAGGACTGTTACTATTTCTGGATAGGTGATTAGACTTGCCTCTCCCAATTTAAGTTTGTTTTTTGCTCTCTAGAAGACCCAGTAGAGCTGTTCTCTATTTCAAAGACCCAGTACTGCTGAATCTGAATTCTGCTTCTAGACCGACTGTTATTAGCTTCAGACCCAGTAGGCCGACTATTACAGTGATTAGAAGGTGTTTTTTAATTAACTCCTAACCAAGAATGGAGTTTAAGAACCAAAAGGAATGTGTTTTTGGGACTGGTGGTTTAGGTAACATGATTGAAAACACTTTTTAAATTACAACTGTTAAGTTTGATGGGTCAAACTACTTAGAATGGGCCCAATCAGCTATGATGGCCATGGTTGTGCAACTCTATGCAGCCACATATCAGTCGAAACTACTTATGGGCCAAAACAACCAAGGAAATATGGGATGTCATGAAAGAAACTTACTCTCAGCCCCTTAATGTTGCTAGGGCTTGTTGAGATTTTTAACCTCACAAGGAGAGAAACAGGTCTCTGTTTATTTTTCAACCTTGAAATCCCGGTGGCATGAAATTGACCATCTTGAAACAATTGAATGGGAGAGTCAGAAGGATGCACAAACTTACAGAGAGACAACATTTGTTGACAAGAGACAGTGTGACTCTATCACAAGCCTATTCCTTAGTGCACAGTGAAGAGACTAGGAGAAAGGTTATGTTGCAGCAACAATCTTTTGAATCAGCTTTGGCAGCAGTTAAGCCTAAGTTTGGGGGTGATAAGGTGAGGGATATTAAAAAGGAAGCTAAGAAGGACCTAGTATGTGAGCATTGCAAGAAACCTAAACATACTAAAGACACTTGTTGGAAGTTGCATCCACATCTAGTTCCAGCAAAACTCAGAAACAAAAAGGGGAATGATAATATGGCTGTTAATACTGATAGTACAACCTCATCGGGCACAAGAGGCACTCCTCTAGACACCCTAGCTGCTGTCTGAGCTGCTCTGACTCAGCTGGAAAATGAATTTGGTAATTCAGCTCCATCTCTTCAGCCACCATCAACTCCTCCTACCTCAACTTTTGCTCATTCAGGTAATCGAGCCTCAGCTTACCATGCTTCAGCTTCAGGTAATACAGAACATTTTTGGGTAATAGATTCAGGAGCATCTGACCATATGACTGGGTTGCCATCACTGTTTACTACCTATCATTTATCTTCCGGCAGAGACAAGGTGTCCATTGCTGATGGCTCCCTTGTTCCTATTTTTGGCAAGGGAGACATCAAGTTGTCTAATGCCATTTCCTTGTCTTCGGTTTTGCATGTTCCTAAACTTAGTTGACAAGGAAGGTGATTGGGACTGGCCGTGAGACGAATGAAATCTATCTGCTTGGAGGGAGTTCTCATTGGGAAGATAGTGAAACTAAGAGGTCTTTTATTTCTCAGTCTATTGATCAATTGATTGGGTCATTTATCTTTTTAGGCTTTAAAGAGTTTGTTTCCTAGTTTGTTTGAATCTATCCAGATGTCTAGTTTGAGATTTGAGAGTTGTGAGCTTTCAAAGCCCAAATTTTTTTTTAAACAAGGAACCGGACCATTCTTTTTCTAAGTTTGATATTTCACCTAATCTGATATTACCATTCAATTCCGACAGGTTGATGGAGAACTCTGCAACTAGTGTGTGGCTCACCTTGAGCTGCCTTGTTGATGCAACCAGAATTGTTAAACCAGCACACAAGTAGTAGGAAAAGAACACCCTTTCAACAGCAATCAGTAGAAGAAGTTTGAAAGAAAACAAATCAATTCTCTATAGCAGTCAACTATGGAAAACAGTAGAAGAAATTCATTACTTTATTGCATAAAGCAGAAATACTAACTGCTATAACAAAATCCGTTGACCATATATATCCAAATTTCAGCCTAATCAAATAGTTGGATTAGAAGAAATTATGTTTGAGATTTCTTCCGGGATTTAGTCAGAGGTTGATGACCATTTGCATCAGTTGGTCATTGCAAACAGTCACAAAAAAAGAGATGAAAAAGAAAAAAAGGACTTGGATTATATGCCTTATTCATATGGCTTGTTTTGGAATTTGATTTCTCATGGTCAGAACTTCACTAATTTTTCTTGTGTTAGAGATTTTTAAAGTATGTACTGGTACTGGTGTCACAGTTTTGAATTTACCTTGGTTCTTGTCTTTGTCTATAATTTTATTGTATTTTGTTGGTATACTGGATTTGTTGCCTTAACTAAGAAAAATTTATGATCTTTTGAGTTCATACTTGATCTCGTTAATATTGACAGCGGAAGTATTTCTAGACACCCAACCGTTAATACGTTCTATTCTTGATGGTTACAATGTATGCATTTTTGCTTATGGTCAAACTGGCTCAGGGAAGACCTATACAATGGTACACACTCTCCTTATACCTTCCCAATATGTGGATCACTTATTTTGTAGTAGCATATATATTGCTTATTTTGGTTCTATTTGATAGGATATTTCATATTTATTGAGAAGTTCTAAATACCTTGTGACCTTAAAGTATGTCTCTACTAGACTGGCCCAGATGCAGCACGTAAGGAGGATTGGGGTGTCAACTATAGAGCTCTAAATGACCTTTTCGAAATCTCTCAAAATAGGAAAGGTTCCTTTTCATATGAAGTTGGTGTTCAAATGGTTGAGATATATAATGAACAAGTGCGTGATTTACTTTCAAGTGATGGTTCCCAAAAAAGATATCCTTAATTTCTTGAATTTGATTATTTCCCATGATTATTGTTCTTTAGGCTCAGTTTGGAAGGGGGATAAATACAAATATGTAGAGTGCAAAGCCTTGTATTTTGTATTATTTTATATGTATTTGTACTGTACATATTTGTTTTTGTACTCTTTCCAAACTGAGCCTTAGTTTGGAAAGAGTACAAATACATTCAAAACAAAACAAATTACAAGGTTTTGCACTCTACATATTTGTATTGCTACTCCTTCCAAACTGAGCCTTAGTGGTAGATTGAGGATTTAGATCAGACTAGATTCTCATTTTTGTTCATTGAATGAGCATTGAATTTTTAGTGCTAGACAAATGATTAACCATCATCTATCACAATATTCATTTATTTGTTTCTAGCCCATAACTACATTTCTGAAAATGCAGTAGCATTTTTTTCTTTTGAGAATGCTTGGGCAAGGGTGTTTTAGTCTTTACATCATCCTTTTGTATTTGGGTGCCCAAGTATGGGCTTTCTTGTAATTTCTCTTAAAAAATATAAATAGTGATTTTGAGGGTGTGAACAAGTAACACACACACACACACCTCTCTTCGATACCTCTTCTTCTTCTTCTTACTGATCCTCTCCCACGAGATGACCTGCTGATGCCTGACCACTGCCGGATGATGTCAGTAATCCATACAGGTGATGGCGGCAATCAATGAATCCTACATGGTTTGCTTCACCTTGATTTTAGAAGTTTTTTGTTATGACTCTTGTAGCTGTTTGAAGTTTCTATGATTTTTTTGTGGATTCTTCAAAAAGAAAATCGCAGAAATTCCAGATCAGATGTCGAGCCTTATACAACTTGTTTCATGAGGTTTTCTGCTACAAAACCTAGACCATTTGGGTCATTTTACATTTTGGGAGTGACAGGAAGTGGTCCTGTAATTTTCTATGTCCTATGCAATTTTTGGGAGATTTTCTTCTCCCTCTATTTTGCCGTCAACCTAGTTTTTTGGCCTCCTTGTGCTTCTTAACCGTGCGGTGATATGTTTTCTTGGTTCTTTAGCTTTGGTTGAGTATTGGGGGTCCTTTTGGTTGAATATGGAATCATCCAAAGATGTACAAATGATTTCCAGTGTTATCTTGGGAAATGCAGATATTTCCAATAGTATGATAGCCACTGCTAAACTTGATTGAACCAACTTTTTGGAGTGGTCCCGATCTGCTAAGCTTACCACCACTGGGAGAGGTTGTGAAGAATCTTGATGTTGTACCTTATTTCTATAGTCCTTGTTGTACACTATCATGTATTTTTTCTTTCTTATTTTCTCTTTTTTGCCTCACAAGGGCCTTTCTGTAAATATCATGTTTCATATATATATATAGTTGACAGATTTCTGTTTTCACCCTAAACTGGTTGTGCTCTCTTGTTTGAACTGGTTGTATGGCATGGTATCAAAGCAGGTTGCTCCATAGACTGTGTATGCTCCATGTTCACTCGTTAACCTCGAGTCTGCAAGGGAGATAAAGTAATCCATCCCTACATTTTTATTTATCTCTTAGCAACTTGTTTTGCCTTGAGATATTCTGCACTCCCATCATGTAGAAATTTGAAAATTTCACCATATAAACCCACTGACAACATACAGTGTGTTTCCTAGGTGGGAGAGTAGTCAATTTCCAGGTACTGTTCTCTTATAGAGAATCTAGTACCTCCTCCATTGTGTTCCTCCAACCAGGAGAAGCAGGAGCTGATAGGCTGCCAAGAATTTTTGTGATTTAAATATCCAAGTGTGATTGGTGAGAGAAAGGGATAAAGGAGAAAGTCTAGACTACAATATACAAGGTGTCAAGAAGCATTGGCCTTCCCTTTTATATATGATACTCCTCTTGTCAACCAACAAGTTTTGAGTTGACAGCCTTATATACCTTTTCTTTTTCTTCCTTTTCCTTCTCTCTCTACTCTCTTTTCTTCCTTCATTGTTTCTACTTGTTAAACTCTACTCACACTTGCAACACATCAGCCCCTCTTGGTAATAGTCCATTATAGGGCTCAAACTACCACAAAAATAACACTGTAATCACTCATGGTGACTGCAACCAGAACCAAGGAGGGTAGAGGAGATCACAGCTCTTACAGTATTGATTCTTTAATATAAATAGATCATAAATAAGAAAAAAGAATGGACAGAGAAAGATAAGATTTCAACCCTCTTTGGAGTAGATTGTAGGTTGTAGCCTCCAACATGATCTGGTACCATGTTCTGGTATTAGACTTGATGACAAAAGGAGAAAGAAAGAGAAGAAGGAAGATAGAAAGAGGAGGAGAATAAGAAGTGATCAGTCCAAAGGGAAAGAGATGAACTGATCTATCCCAGTCAACTGCTTTATGTTGATCTCTTATACTGATTTTAGTTACTGTTCTTCCCTTGTTGAGTATGTGACATCCATATCAAGTATGAGACTGATCTGTACAATATAAAGTAGAGGAAAAATACATAAAACCCCTTTTGACTTGCCACTTAGCATGTTCTGTACAATATTTCTAGCCTTTTAGTCATTTTACAAAAAAATTCCTTTTATCCTAAGTTGTATTCTCCTATCACATAAGACATTAACTGCTGCCCCCCTCGATTTCACCTGTCCAGCTATAATTCTATGGGTGAAATCATCCTCAACCTCTCCCTTGTTGTGAACTATCGAACCAAGATAACAAAAGAGGTCACATTGAGGTATTTCTTGGTTTCATTCTTGGTCTCCAATCCTAATAGTATTCTGGAAAGAGATATGATTTATAATATTTAGAACCATGTTCCTTAGTTTTTAGGTGTTAAGCCATTTCCATTCCTTGGGTGGGACAGTGATTACTGGTTACTGCCTTTTATCTCTTAAAGCTGACCAGCCTTCATAATTTCCTTTATGGGATTTGTTAGAGTGAGCCGAATAAGGGTAGTTTAGTCAACTTGTCTTTGTTAAGTTGTATGATTATGTGGCAATTTTATTAGAGACACTCTGCCCCACACTTAAGTAAGGGCAGTTTAGTCTTTGTACAAGTAATTAGAGACTAATTACTATTAAGGGGTCGACTGATAGGGTTAACCAATCAGATTCGA